ATGGCTGGCTGGGGGATTCTGGGAGTTGAAGTCCACTCATCTTAAAGTGGCCAAGTTTGGACAACACTGAAGTAAAGTAATACTCATTACCATCGAAACAGCCATCAATCCATGGGGCACAACAGGGATTCTTTCTCCTTTCCTGCCCCTCCCACTTTTTAGGACAGATTTTGGGGGTGGGCTACAAAAGGAAGGGTTTCCTCAGTCGCCCTATACAAGATTAATGTCCTGTATTTCTTTTCTAATTCCTTATCCATAAAACCCAATAGGAATGATTCTGGTTTCAACATAATGTTAGTTCGCAATATCCTCTGCATCATTGTATGGGTTTATATCCAATTTTTTCTTTTTTCTTTTTTTTACTTTTTCACAAGTCCGCCATGCGTGATAAAAAGTCCCTTCTTTCTTTTCACATTTCCAACACTGGTTTGATATTCCTTTATACATTTTAGACAATTTAGCCAGTGTCATATACCATCTGTACATCAGTTCCATCAGCAGAATGACTTAAATTAGATTTCATCCATTAAGATTAGAGTTTAAAATTGCCTGACTGCACAACCAATTCTGTTATAATGGACTTTAACAGATTCCTGTAACAGATGCAGTAAGTTCTTAAAGAGAAAGGTATTCCTGGACTATATAGGTACTAGAAGAAATATGAATGATTTCTATTCCTGATTTCTGTTGGGTGAAAATTTGCTAGGATGGTAATACAGTCTCTATACACCAAATAACTTGTCTGCAATTTATCATATGGGTCAGTAAGTGAAAGGAAGGTCCAAGAATAGCACAAATATTAACCAGTGATAAATGAGCCACACAAAGATAGCGATATGCTGCCTGTGTATTTACACAACCCATTGTATCACTCATTAGCCAATCACATTTTAACCTGATGTGTTTTGTGAAGGCAGCCTAGGTAGTTTATGGCTCAGTGTATTGTGTGAAACAGAAAGTAGTTTAATTCAGTAAACCATGGTTCAATTATCCATGATGGGTCTTCCAAACCTAACCAATATGGCCGATAATACCACAAAGTGTGACTGTGAGTCTCTCTCGTCCCAGTCTAATACCTTACTCACTGTACCACACTGGCTTTTCAAGATAATCAGTCTTCCTGCTTATAAATATCTATATTTTTATAGATTTATACACATTTTTCACCAATTTTTTCCACAGCAACCACCCGGTGAGATAGATTGGTCCAAGGAGAGTTGCTGTCCCTAAGTCACCCAGACAGCTTCTGTGATTGAGGTGGACTTGAACCTGGGACTCTCCAGGGCCAGTCCACTACCTTAACCATGATATCCTCCAAGGTATCAAACTATACAGGTCATTCCTGCCAACATTTTTCTTAAATAACGGGGAGCACACAAACCTTTGTATCAGTTGCCTGATGATTCATCCACAGGCAGGAAAAGCCAGTTTGCAAAGGAGTGACTGGGGTACATATGGACAAATAACTCCAAACATGTCAAACTAGGACTGGCCAAACTCTAAACATGTTTGGGGGAGGAGGGCAAACTTTCAGTATACTCAGAAACCAGGATGGTTTATTGGACAAAATTGTGAAAGATCTGCTTCTCCAAGATAGCCTTTTTTCAACCTGGTGTTTTTCAGATTGTTGGAACATGTGAAAATTTCATCTCAGTGAAGCTGAGCAAGGCCATCTTAGGCAGCAAATTTTTGAAAAGGCGTGCAATAGATCATTCTTTAAATGATCATTCTTTATATTGTCAGAGATGGGT